GAGGTCGAGAGTGTTAACACGGCTATACCACTCACTGTTAGAAGGTGACCACAGGAAAGCAAGTGCCACAATTTGGGTGAGGAAAAAAGTGATGATAGGGACAGTACACATTAGAATGGTTCTCCAACCAAGGAGAGATCCACTAGGGCGATAGTCGCCGAGTTTTGCTGCCGGACCCGACAGAGTCATCGTCCACACCATGATGACGCTGATGAGGACATCTTGGGATATCCAGAACCATTCCCCTGGAACTTGATTCCCTATGATAGTACCGACAATTCGAGAAGTAGTGAGAATGAACGCATATACGATGAAGAAAGAGTAAGTCGCGATGTTGGTGGCAAGACACGCACGACCTTCACGAATCATATCAACAACTGTGAAGAGGGAGCGACCATCACGACCTGAACTGAATGGTGATACCATGGATGCCTCCGCCTCAGATAAAGCCATGCCAGCATGAGCAGCACGGAGAGCACCACAGTCGTTACCACCATCACCGCACATACCAACAACCAGCTTACGAGACTGGAGATACTTCGTCACGTTCACCTTGTCCTCAGGCTTCATGCGGGCGAACACCAAAATATCTTTCCAAAGCTTATCGAGCTCATCAGAGTTCCTAGCCAAATACTTCCATGCAGATCCAGTTACTGCCAGTTGGTCTACCCCGGCCTCCACATCACAGCAGGGCTCGTTCGTCTCAGTGTCAACCCAAAGGAGCTTATCCATTTCCTCATCATAGTCTCCTATTAAAAGTCGTCCATTTTTGCTTTTCCCAATTATACCACATTCCTTGGCAATAGCGATACCAGTGAAGACATTGTCACCAGTACACATAACGTTGCGAATGTTGCCGGCGGTCAAGGCCTCAATGGCAGTCGGGCTTCATCTCATTGCGGAAGAGAAGCAGTCCGCACATGGAAAGGTCGAATTCAAAAGAGTCCCTCTTGGCCGCTGTGATTTGCTCGTCCGTGAAAGAGCCGTCCAAAGTCTTAGTCGCCATTGCCAAGGTGTAGAAGTTATCAGAAGCACATCCCTCAGAGACTTCAACATAGTCCTTGGGGAGTGTGTCGGGCAACGACAAGGCGGCCACACGTTCATACGAGCCCTTGATGACGACAATAACCTCATCCGTTGACAGATCTCTGACGACAATCCCGGATGTCATTCTGTTGTGGTGGAACTCAAGTTTCTTCAAGACCTTGAGTTTATGCTCCCCATTCGGTGAAGTTATGATATTGTCTGAGCTCTCCGGCTTCGGGAGAGACCATCCAGTCATAGTGAGCATCGACACTTCAACGTGATTCCCAATAAATGTTCCATCACGGAGAGTAGTCACAGTGTGGCAGCAAGCGAGGCCGTATTGCATCTTCAGAGGGATTCTCTCAGAAATCACACGTTTGTTTCTCTCATCGAGAGGAGGCGAATCCGGCTCAAACTGCACCTTGCTGAGGAAGGTTCTACTCGCAGGGTCCACGGCCACCACCGCCGCGAAGTCCATACCGTCCTTCGTGATGGTGCCGGTCTTGTCGAACACCATCGTTGAGATCTTGCCAGCAACAGGAATCCTCCCCGGTTGGAGACATGATATCTGATGATGCTTCTCGAGTCTGAAGGCCGCCACTGACTGGCCCATGACGATAGAGACGGGCAACATGGGGTTCATCGTCTGAGCAATAGCACTCAGAATTTCCAACACGGTGACCACCCAGGAACCCAGACTTGTCGTGGTCATGAACAGAATGATGATGAGTACAGCATACAGAGCTAGCATACCGTAGATAATCGGAAGCTGATCAGTGTACTTGAACCTAGAAAAGGATACCAATATGAATGAACAAAACCCTTTTAGCTATCATTAGTTCCACGACAATGCACACTCGGCATTCCACAACGTGCGCGCCCGAAGACACTGAGATACGCTCAAAGCAGTTGACTATGTCCTATCCTGTATAGTCCTATATATAGCACAAGGGTTTGACACAGGAAAGTCAGCTCGGTAGAGTCTACCTGATAGATTGTGGGGAAAGTACCATACGAATGAGTTGTCCCTTCGTCGTGAGAGCTCCGACACTAGTTGCCAGCAAAATGGCACGACCATCGTGGGGGCCAGTTGACTGCATACACATAGTGCCTATGAGAAATTCCAGCAGCATCACATGGAGAGAGTCTCTGAGATCTCACCTGCATAGGCCTTGTTCTTCTTGGTGATTTCAGCATCTTCAATGTCATCCACAGAGAATTTCTGTATGGGCATGGGCTCACCAGTGAGCATGGACTCATTGACGATTATAGAACCCTCCATGACCACTCCGTCACAAGGAAGAGGTTCACGTTCCTCCACTTTGAGTAAGTCGCCGAGGACCACACCATGGGAGCCGATCTCAATCCACTTCCCTGATCTCAGAACTTGCACCCTAGTCTCTAACTTCGCCAAGGTAGCGATCTTCTTCTGGCCCCTCCTTACGATGAACAAGGCCCGATAGATCCCCGCAATCAGAGTCATGCCGAGCCATATTATTCCAATATTCCACGTCGTATACACGATGTACGTCCAGGCAGCAACAGACTGTAGTATGTAGAGAACATCGCTGAACTCCGAAGCCAGGCTCTCAATGATCCCGGGGACTCGCACTCTGATCTCATTCGGACCCGTTTCCTCCAACTCGAGTGTGGCCTCCTCGTGACTTAAACCACCAGTTCTCAGCCGGTTATGCATCTCAGAAGCTGTCCATTCTCCCATGCCAACAGGACGGAACCGACCAACGTTAGTATCAAATACATATCTAACGCACATATACTCGTAACACTTAACGCCGAGCATTTTATCGTATTCAACTTCAACCATCGTCTTGCGGGGTGGCGCTCCTGAAGCGTGCACGTAGTCTTTCCCAAAGGGCCGATATGTGACGATTGAAGACCGGCACGTCCTCATCAGAAGCCATTCCTGGATCTATCATATCCTTAGAGTCCTCCGCGAGAGGTACAGCCTCCTCAATAACCACATTCGTAGCCTCACTGAGATGTGGCTCGGGCAACATGAACAGCGTAACGAGGGAGTGATAGAATTTAGATAGCACGGCAGCCAGTACGTGAAAAACGACCATTGAGTATATTGCTGGTATAACAACTCCGTCCCAGTCAGTTTGCCAGTCTGAGAGGAGTTCAGGAAAATACGAAAATGAGACGAAGATGATGATGCAAAGGTATGCTAGCATAAGGAGAAGAAGCCAAGCATAGAGAATGATGGTTCCCATCATGGTTTTCTTGTAGCCAGTCTGAATGAAGAACCTCTCAACTTCGTCGGGGCTCTCAAATGATAGACGACGGCAAGCGGACGACTTAGACTTGATGGATCGAGGGGCTTGAACAGAGCGATAGATCAGAAATATCGCAGATATGAGGAGCAGACCGCAAAGGGCACAAGTCCAAATTATGGCAGCGATTTCTCCGAATTCCATTTTCCGTCAGATGATGCGGAAATATTGATAAACTAAAGCACACCATTTGCGTGCGACTGCCATATAGTTCTCGCATGCATAGCACAGCCTTGTTATTGGAAGGTTACCCCCAACTGGCCTGGAAGTAAGAAGGCCGCTAGGGATGATGGTCCAGGCATTCCCCGTCAACTTCGTATTAGCCCTCACTAGAAACGAAACATGAAAATGGTGAATTGCAGTCTCAAGACTTTGCTAACATTCCGGTTTTTCGACAGTTGACTAACATCTGGCCTCCAGAGCGAATGGACGACCAAACTTGCCAGAAACCATCCCTCATTCGATCGTCCTTCTGATTAGGCCTGATGTTACCCAATGACATTCATCATCATCATCCTCTAGTACTGAGGAATTGAGAGAAGATAGCGTTTCAGAACCCCGCCGAAAGTTGATAAAGACTCAACATCCTCCAAAATATTAAATTCGATAAACGATAGCTATATTGCTACCAGACAAAGGAGAAAGAATCTACTGCATCCATAACACTATGTCATTAACATACAGATAATCACCATCGTACTCGTGGACGTAGCCAATACCACGTAAAAGGAAGTCCTATCTTCGGAAGGAAAATAGGACGAAAAGTACTGACCATCTGGACAACAGGGAAAGCTGTAAGGGAAGCGCAATGGTGGTGGTATCATGTAGTAATGACTAGTGTACGATAATGTCTGAACAAGTAGCATAATAAACGCCTGCGAACTTGGACCACATGTAAAGGATGGTGTAGGGCCCAGGCTCAACGTTACTAGGTATAATAATATCAGCAGAAGTGGTGTCCTTAGTAACATGTTTGTTATAAAATGGTAGGCAGTCCTCTAGCGAGGTGAAGTCTTCCCATGAAGGATCAGAACTGTATGGAGCCATCTTGAACACGATGCATGTCCCTGATACCTAGAGATGATGGCGACTATGAGAAACCACGGCCTACCGTCAGAGACGGAATTAGTGTGCCCGTTACCCATCCAGGAGATATGTAGTTTTTGCCCTGAATGTAAGCCAGCTTCAATAATCGATCATATGGAGGTCTCACCTCGAGTAACTTCTGCACGGTCGTTTGTATTCGAAGCACCAAGCGAGCCAGCCCGTCTGCATGGTCGTAGAGAGCTTTCATCAAAAGCCTTATATGGCGGGGGCAGATTCTGGCACTGCCTCAGGGATGACTTCGGGCACACCGGGCGCTACAAAACAGAGAGGCTTCACGTAGAGAACGATTTAAGATTCTGAGTTACTCACCGCATAATAATGGTCGGGATTTTTGTGCATGTTTGGGCCCATCCTAGGATGACCGCTTCTGATGTCCCCTATCAAATTAAATACCCAGCTGTGGGCGGACGCCTTCATGACGATGGAAATGATGATAGCACAGATCATCATAATGCATTCAAATGATAACCTATCAAACAATGTCATTC